TATCCATTAGTCCACTGGGGCAGATATGGTGCAAAGAAATTGATTTCAGTTCAAAAGGTTTACTAAGGTTAATCCCAACCAGATGTTGGCATTGTTTGAAACAGAAAAAGGTGGGTTTCAAAAGAGTGGATATGGATATGTACCAACATTTTTAATGTGCATAGAATGTGAGGAGGGATGCTTATGCTTGCTGAATTGGCTGCACTGGGTTGTCAATGGCAATTTATTTAGTGGCCAATACATTGAACAGATATTCATTTGGTGGACTAAAACATTGAAAACTCCGAAATTAGCAGAGGATGGTTTCGATCCATCGACCGCTGGGTTATGGGCCCAGGACGCTTCCGCTGCGCCACTCTGCTTTGTAGTACTAACTATTTGACTCAAATTGCCAAACCCAGGCTCGATTCACCTCAAAAGTGAGAGTGAAAAACGATTGTTGGCCAACACTGGTTGCGGATCTCTAAAATGGGCACTGAATTTGAGCCAAAATCCTTATGTTTGCTGAGGTGGCTAGACCTGGATGTCAAATTGCAATTGACTTTGTGGTATAAAACACACATCTAGCAGAGGATGGTTTCGATCCATCGACCTCTGGGTTATGGGCCCAGCACGCTTCCGCTGCGCCACTCTGCTTTAAATCACCCCAGACGGGACTCGAACCCACAATCCCTGGCTTAGGAGGCCAGTGCCTTATCCATTAGGCCACTGGGGCTGACGTGTTGCGAATAAATTGATTTCAGTTCAAAAGGTTTACTAAGGTTAATCCCAACCAGATGTTGGCATTGTTTGAAACAGAAAAAGGTGGGTTTCAAAAGAGTGGATATGGATCTGTACCATAATTTTTAATGTGCATAGAATGTGAGGAGGGATGCTTATGCTTGCTGAATTGGCTGCACTGGGTTGTCAATGGCAATTTATTTAGTGGCCAATACATTAAACAGATATTCATTTGGTGGACTAAAATATTGAAAACTCAGAAATTAGCAGAGGATGGTTTCGATCCATCGACCTCTGGGTTATGGGCCCAGCACGCTTCCGCTGCGCCACTCTGCTTTGGAGCACTGAGTATTTGACTCAAATTGCCAAACCCAGGCTCGATTCACCTCATAATTGAGAGCGCAAAACCATTGTTGGCTAACACTGGTTGCGGATCTCTAAAATGGGCACTGAATTTCAGGCAAAATCCACATGTTTGCAGAGGACGCTAGCACAGGAGGTCAAATTGCATCTTGCAGGGGATGGTTTCGATCCAGCGCCTCTGGGTTTTGGGCCCAGCACGCTTCCGCTGCGCCACTCTGCTTTGTAGTACTGAGTATTTGACTCAAATTGCCAAACCCAGGCTCGATTCACCTCATAATTGAGAGCGCAAAACCATTGTTGGCTAACACTGGTTGCGGATCTCTAAAATGGGCACTGAATTTCAGGCAAAATCCACATGTTTGCAGAGGACGCTAACACAGGAGGTTAATTTTCATCTTGCAGGGGATGGTTTCAATCCATCGACCTCTGGGTCCATCACGCATCCGCTGCCCGACTCTGCTTTAAATCACCCCAGATGGGTCTCGAACGCACAATCCCTGGCCTAGGAGGCCAGTGCCTTATCCATTAGTCCACTGGGGCAGATATGGTGCAAAGAAATTGATTTCAGTTCAAAAGGTTTACTAAGGTTAATCCCAACCAGATGTTGGCATTGTTTGAAACAGAAAAAGGTGGGTTTCAAAAGAGTGGATATGGATATGTACCAACATTTTTAATGTGCATAGAATGTGAGGAGGGATGCTTATGCTTGCTGAATTGGCTGCACTGGGATGTCAATGGCAATTTATTTAGTGGCCAATACATTGAACAGATATTCATTTGGTGGACTAAAACATTGAAAACTCCGAAATTAGCAGAGGATGGTTTCGATCCATCGACCGCTGGGTTATGGGCCCAGCACGCTTCCGCTGCGCCACTCTGCTTTGTAGTACTAACTATTTGACTCAAATTGCCAAACCCAGGCTCGATTCACCTCAAAATTGAGAGTGAAAAACGATTGTTGGCTAACACTGGTTGCGGATCTCTAAAATGGGCACTGAATTTGAGCCAAAATCCTCATGTTTGCTGAGGTGGCTAGACCTGGATGTCAAATTGCAATTGACTTTGTGGTATAAAACACACATCTAGCAGAGGATGGTTTCGATCCATCGACCTCTGGGTTATGGGCCCAGCACGCTTCCGCTGCGCCACTCTGCTTTAAATCACCCCAGACGGGACTCGAACCCACAATCCCTGGCTTAGGAGGCCAGTGCCTTATCCATTAGGCCACTGGGGCTGACGTGTTGCGAATAAATTGATTTCAGTTCAAAAGGTTTACTAAGGTTAATCCCAACCAGATGTTGGCATTGTTTGAAACAGAAAAAGGTGGGTTTCAAAAGAGTGGATATGGATCTGTACCATAATTTTTAATGTGCATAGAATGTGAGGAGGGATGCTTATGCTTGCTGAATTGGCTGCACTGGGTTGTCAATGGCAATTTATTTAGTGGCCAATACATTAAACAGATATTCATTTGGTGGACTAAAACATTGAAAACTCAGAAATTAGCAGAGGATGGTTTCGATCCATCGACCTCTGGGTTATGGGCCCAGCACGCTTCCGCTGCGCCACTCTGCTTTGTAGCACTGAGTATTTGACTCAAATTGCCAAACCCAGGCTCGATTCACCTCATAATTGAGAGCGCAAAACCATTGTTGGCTAACACTGGTTGCGGATCTCTAAAATGGGCACTGAATTTCAGGCAAAATCCACATGTTTGCAGAGGACGCTAGCACAGGAGGTCAAATTGCATCTTGCAGGGGATGGTTTCGATCCAGCGCCTCTGGGTTTTGGGCCCAGCACGCTTCCGCTGCGCCACTCTGCTTTGTAGTACTGAGTATTTGACTCAAATTGCCAAACCCAGGCTCGATTCACCTCATAATTGAGAGCGCAAAACCATTGTTGGCTAACACTGGTTGCGGATCTCTAAAATGGGCACTGAATTTCAGGCAAAATCCACATGTTTGCAGAGGACGCTAACACAGGAGGTTAATTTTCATCTTGCAGGGGATGGTTTCAATCCATCGACCTCTGGGTCCATCACGCATCCGCTGCCCGACTCTGCTTTAAATCACCCCAGATGGGTCTCGAACGCACAATCCCTGGCCTAGGAGGCCAGTGCCTTATCCATTAGTCCACTGGGGCAGATATGGTGCAAAGAAATTGATTTCAGTTCAAAAGGTTTACTAAGGTTAATCCCAACCAGATGTTGGCATTGTTTGAAACAGAAAAAGGTGGGTTTCAAAAGAGTGGATATGGATATGTACCAACATTTTTAATGTGCATAGAATGTGAGGAGGGATGCTTATGCTTGCTGAATTGGCTGCACTGGGATGTCAATGGCAATTTATTTAGTGGCCAATACATTGAACAGATATTCATTTGGTGGACTAAAACATTGAAAACTCCGAAATTAGCAGAGGATGGTTTCGATCCATCGACCGCTGGGTTATGGGCCCAGCACGCTTCCGCTGCGCCACTCTGCTTTGTAGTACTAACTATTTGACTCAAATTGCCAAACCCAGGCTCGATTCACCTCAAAATTGAGAGTGAAAAACGATTGTTGGCTAACACTGGTTGCGGATCTCTAAAATGGGCACTGAATTTGAGCCAAAATCCTCATGTTTGCTGAGGTGGCTAGACCTGGATGTCAAATTGCAATTGACTTTGTGGTATAAAACACACATCTAGCAGAGGATGGTTTCGATCCATCGACCTCTGGGTTATGGGCCCAGCACGCTTCCGCTGCGCCACTCTGCTTTAAATCACCCCAGACGGGACTCGAACCCACAATCCCTGGCTTAGGAGGCCAGTGCCTTATCCATTAGGCCACTGGGGCTGACGTGTTGCGAATAAATTGATTTCAGTTCAAAAGGTTTACTAAGGTTAATCCCAACCAGATGTTGGCATTGTTTGAAACAGAAAAAGGTGGGTTTCAAAAGAGTGGATATGGATCTGTACCATAATTTTTAATGTGCATAGAATGTGAGGAGGGATGCTTATGCTTGCTGAATTGGCTGCACTGGGTTGTCAATGGCAATTTATTTAGTGGCCAATACATTAAACAGATATTCATTTGGTGGACTAAAACATTGAAAACTCAGAAATTAGCAGAGGATGGTTTCGATCCATCGACCTCTGGGTTATGGGCCCAGCACGCTTCCGCTGCGCCACTCTGCTTTGTAGCACTGAGTATTTGACTCAAATTGCCAAACCCAGGCTCGATTCACCTCATAATTGAGAGCGCAAAACCATTGTTGGCTAACACTGGTTGCGGATCTCTAAAATGGGCACTGAATTTCAGGCAAAATCCACATGTTTGCAGAGGACGCTAGCACAGGAGGTCAAATTGCATCTTGCAGGGGATGGTTTCGATCCAGCGCCTCTGGGTTTTGGGCCCAGCACGCTTCCGCTGCGCCACTCTGCTTTGTAGTACTGAGTATTTGACTCAAATTGCCAAACCCAGGCTCGATTCACCTCATAATTGAGAGCGCAAAACCATTGTTGGCTAACACTGGTTGTGGATCTCTAAAATGGGCACTGAATTTCAGGCAAAATCCACATGTTTGCAGAGGACGCTAGCACAGGAGGTCAAATTGCATCTTGCAGGGGATGGTTTCGATCCAGCGCCTCTGGGTTTTGGGCCCAGCACGCTTCCGCTGCGCCACTCTGCTTTCTAGTACTAAGTATTTGACTCAAATTGCCAAACCCAGGCTCGATTCACCTCATAATTGAGAGCGCAAAACCATTGTTGGCTAACACTGGTTGCGGATCTCTAAAATGGGCACTGAATTTCAGGCAAAATCCACATGTTTGCAGAGGACGCTAACACAGGAGGTTAAATTTCATCTTGCAGGGGATGGTTTCAATCCATCGACCTCTGGGTCCATCACGCATCCGCAGCCCGACTCTGCTTTAAATCACCCCAGATGGGTCTCGAACGCACAATCCCTGGCCTAGGAGGCCAGTGCCTTATCCACTGGGGCAGATATGGTGCAAAGAAATTGATTTCAGTTCAAAAGGTTTACTAAGGTTAATCCCAACCAGATGTTGGCATTGTTTGAAACAGAAAAAGGTGGGTTTCAAAAGAGTGGATATGGATATGTACCAACATTTTTAATGTGCATAGAATGTGAGGAGGCTTATGCTTGCTGAATTGGCTGCACTGGGATGTCAATGGCAATTTATTTAGTGGCCAATACATTGAACAGATATTCATTTGGTGGACTAAAACATTGAAAACTCCGAAATTAGCAGAGGATGGTTTCGATCCATCGACCGCTGGGTTATGGGCCCAGCACGCTTCCGCTGCGCCACTCTGCTTTGTAGTACTAACTATTTGACTCAAATTGCCAAACCCAGGCTCGATTCACCTCAAAATTGAGAGTGAAAAACGATTGTTGGCTAACACTGGTTGCGGATCTCTAAAATGGGCACTGAATTTGAGCCAAAATCCTCATGTTTGCTGAGGTGGCTAGACCTGGATGTCAAATTACAATTGACTTTGTGGTATAAAACACACATCTAGCAGAGGATGGTTTCGATCCATCGACCTCTGGGTTATGGGCCCAGCACGCTTCCGCTGCGCCACTCTGCTTTAAATCACCCCAGACGGGACTCGAACCCACAATCCCTGGCTTAGGAGGCCAGTGCCTTATCCATTAGGCCACTGGGGCTGACGTGTTGCGAATAAATTGATTTCAGTTCAAAAGGTTTACTAAGGTTAATCCCAACCAGATGTTGGCATTGTTTGAAACAGAAAAAGGTGGGTTTCAAAAGAGTGGATATGGATCTGTACCATAATTTTTAATGTGCATAGAATGTGAGGAGGGATGCTTATGCTTGCTGAATTGGCTGCACTGGGTTGTCAATGGCAATTTATTTAGTGGCCAATACATTAAACAGATATTCATTTGGTGGACTAAAATATTGAAAACTCCGAAATTAGCAGAGGATGGTTTCGATCCATCGACCTCTGGGTTATGGGCCCAGCACGCTTCCGCTGCGCCACTCTGCTTTGGAGCACTGAGTATTTGACTCAAATTGCCAAACCCAGGCTCGATTCACCTCATAATTGAGAGCGCAAAACCATTGTTGGCTAACACTGGTTGCGGATCTCTAAAATGGGCACTGAATTTCAGGCAAAATCCACATGTTTGCAGAGGACGCTAGCACAGGAGGTCAAATTGCAGGGGATGGTTTCGATCCAGCGCCTCTGGGTTTTGGGCCCAGCACGCTTCCGCTGCGCCACTCTGCTTTGTAGTACTGAGTATTTGACTCAAATTGCCAAACCCAGGCTCGATTCACCTCATAATTGAGAGCGCAAAACCATTGCTGGCTAACACTGGTTGCGGATCTCTAAAATGGGCACTGAATTTCAGGCAAAATCCACATGTTTGCAGAGGACGCTAACACAGGAGGTTAAATTTCATCTTGCAGGGGATGGTTTCAATCCATCGACCTCTGGGTCCATCACGCATCCGCAGCCCGACTCTGCTTTAAATCACCCCAGATGGGTCTCGAACGCACAATCCCTGGCCTAGGAGGCCAGTGCCTTATCCCTTAGTCCACTGGGGCAGATATGGTGCAAAGAAATTGATTTCAGTTCAAAAGGTTTACTAAGGTTAATCCCAACCAGATGTTGGCATTGTTTGAAACAGAAAAAGGTGGGTTTCAAAAGAGTGGATATGGATATGTACCAACATTTTTAATGTGCATAGAATGTGAGGAGGCTTATGCTTGCTGAATTGGCTGCACTGGGATGTCAATGGCAATTTATTTAGTGGCCAATACATTGAACAGATATTCATTTGGTGGACTAAAACATTGAAAACTCCGAAATTAGCAGAGGATGGTTTCGATCCATCGACCGCTGGGTTATGGGCCCAGCACGCTTCCGCTGCGCCACTCTGCTTTGTAGTACTAACTATTTGACTCAAATTGCCAAACCCAGGCTCGATTCACCTCAAAATTGAGAGTGAAAAACGATTGTTGGCTAACACTGGTTGCGGATCTCTAAAATGGGCACTGAATTTGAGCCAAAATCCTCATGTTTGCTGAGGTGGCTAGACCTGGATGTCAAATTGCAATTGACTTTGTGGTATAAAACACACATCTAGCAGAGGATGGTTTCGATCCATCGACCTCTGGGTTATGGGCCCAGCACGCTTCCGCTGCGCCACTCTGCTTTAAATCACCCCAGACGGGACTCGAACCCACAATCCCTGGCTTAGGAGGCCAGTGCCTTATCCATTAGGCCACTGGGGCTGACGTGTTGCGAATAAATTGATTTCAGTTCAAAAGGTTTACTAAGGTTAATCCCAACCAGATGTTGGCATTGTTTGAAACAGAAAAAGGTGGGTTTCAAAAGAGTGGATATGGATCTGTACCATAATTTTTAATGTGCATAGAATGTGAGGAGGGATGCTTATGCTTGCTGAATTGGCTGCACTGGGTTGTCAATGGCAATTTATTTAGTGGCCAATACATTAAACAGATATTCATTTGGTGGACTAAAATATTGAAAACTCAGAAATTAGCAGAGGATGGTTTCGATCCATCGACCTCTGGGTTATGGGCCCAGCACGCTTCCGCTGCGCCACTCTGCTTTGGAGCACTGAGTATTTGACTCAAATTGCCAAACCCAGGCTCGATTCACCTCATAATTGAGAGCGCAAAACCATTGTTGGCTAACACTGGTTGCGGATCTCTAAAATGGGCACTGAATTTCAGGCAAAATCCACATGTTTGCAGAGGACGCTAGCACAGGAGGTCAAATTGCATCTTGCAGGGGATGGTTTCGATCCAGCGCCTCTGGGTTTTGGGCCCAGCACGCTTCCGCTGCGCCACTCTGCTTTGTAGTACTGAGTATTTGACTCAAATTGCCAAACCCAGGCTCGATTCACCTCATAATTGAGAGCGCAAAACCATTGTTGGCTAACACTGGTTGCGGATCTCTAAAATGGGCACTGAATTTCAGGCAAAATCCACATGTTTGCAGAGGACGCTAACACAGGAGGTTAATTTTCATCTTGCAGGGGATGGTTTCAATCCATCGACCTCTGGGTCCATCACGCATCCGCTGCCCGACTCTGCTTTAAATCACCCCAGATGGGTCTCGAACGCACAATCCCTGGCCTAGGAGGCCAGTGCCTTATCCATTAGTCCACTGGGGCAGATATGGTGCAAAGAAATTGATTTCAGTTCAAAAGGTTTACTAAGGTTAATCCCAACCAGATGTTGGCATTGTTTGAAACAGAAAAAGGTGGGTTTCAAAAGAGTGGATATGGATATGTACCAACATTTTTAATGTGCATAGAATGTGAGGAGGGATGCTTATGCTTGCTGAATTGGCTGCACTGGGATGTCAATGGCAATTTATTTAGTGGCCAATACATTGAACAGATATTCATTTGGTGGACTAAAACATTGAAAACTCCAAAATTAGCAGAGGATGGTTTCGATCCATCGACCGCTGGGTTATGGGCCCAGCACGCTTCCGCTGCGCCACTCTGCTTTGTAGTACTAACTATTTGACTCAAATTGCCAAACCCAGGCTCGATTCACCTCAAAATTGAGAGTGAAAAACGATTGTTGGCTAACACTGGTTGCGGATCTCTAAAATGGGCACTGAATTTGAGCCAAAATCCTCATGTTTGCTGAGGTGGCTAGACCTGGATGTCAAATTGCAATTGACTTTGTGGTATAAAACACACATCTAGCAGAGGATGGTTTCGATCCATCGACCTCTGGGTTATGGGCCCAGCACGCTTCCGCTGCGCCACTCTGCTTTAAATCACCCCAGACGGGACTCGAACCCACAATCCCTGGCTTAGGAGGCCAGTGCCTTATCCATTAGGCCACTGGGGCTGACGTGTTGCGAAAAAATTGATTTCAGTTCAAAAGGTTTACTAAGGTTAATCCCAACCAGATGTTGGCATTGTTTGAAACAGAAAAAGGTGGGTTTCAAAAGAGTGGATATGGATCTGTACCATAATTTTTAATGTGCATAGAATGTGAGGAGGGATGCTTATGCTTGCTGAATTGGCTGCACTGGGTTGTCAATGGCAATTTATTTAGTGGCCAATACATTAAACAGATATTCATTTGGTGGACTAAAACATTGAAAACTCAGAAATTAGCAGAGGATGGTTTCGATCCATCGACCTCTGGGTTATGGGCCCAGCACGCTTCCGCTGCGCCACTCTGCTTTGTAGCACTGAGTATTTGACTCAAATTGCCAAACCCAGGCTCGATTCACCTCATAATTGAGAGCGCAAAACCATTGTTGGCTAACACTGGTTGCGGATCTCTAAAATGGGCACTGAATTTCAGGCAAAATCCACATGTTTGCAGAGGACGCTAGCACAGGAGGTCAAATTGCATCTTGCAGGGGATGGTTTCGATCCAGCGCCTCTGGGTTTTGGGCCCAGCACGCTTCCGCTGCGCCACTCTGCTTTGTAGTACTGAGTATTTGACTCAAATTGCCAAACCCAGGCTCGATTCACCTCATAATTGAGAGCGCAAAACCATTGTTGGCTAACACTGGTTGCGGATCTCTAAAATGGGCACTGAATTTCAGGCAAAATCCACATGTTTGCAGAGGACGCTAACACAGGAGGTTAAATTTCATCTTGCAGGGGATGGTTTCAATCCATCGACCTCTGGGTCCATCACGCATCCGCTGCCCGACTCTGCTTTAAATCACCCCAGATGGGTCTCGAACGCACAATCCCTGGCCTAGGAGGCCAGTGCCTTATCCATTAGTCCACTGGGGCAGATATGGTGCAAAGAAATTGATTTCAGTTCAAAAGGTTTACTAAGGTTAATCCCAACCAGATGTTGGCATTGTTTGAAACAGAAAAAGGTGGGTTTCAAAAGAGTGGATATGGATATGTACCAACATTTTTAATGTGCATAGAATGTGAGGAGGGATGCTTATGCTTGCTGAATTGGCTGCACTGGGATGTCAATGGCAATTTATTTA